GGGCCTTGCATACCCCCAAGTATATATAGGCCATGGTTAGAAATTAAGGGGTCTCTCCTCCGCCCATTCTCTGCATGGACTTGGAAGCCGAGATCATGGCTGTCCCGGAGGTGAGCATGCGACCATAAAATGTGTCTGACTCCTTTATTTTACCTTTTCTTCTCTCTCTCCTATCTTCTATGACTTTACTATAATCTTTATATATTATAGCAGTACAATTGTACCTATGAACCCCATGATATTGTTAGAGGCTGGATACTCTAACAGATGGACAGTGTAAGATAGGAAAATAATATAATTTATCAAGGGGTCATGAGGGTGGGAGGATGGTGGAGGGGGTGGGGAAGAAGAGCTGGTACCAAGGCCCCAAGTAGCAAATGTTTTGAAAATGATGGCAACATATGTTCAATTGATGGATAGTTGTAATAGCTGTAAGCGCCCCCAATAAAATTACTTATTAAAAAAAAGAATAGAAACACAAAGACTGCAGGCGTTAGGGTGGATTGCAACCCAATGTCAAGAGGACACAGGCCTCACAGGTGGACTGACAGCATCATAATAAGTGGAGGAAAGATGGAAGTTAAGGATTTCATTTTGCTTGGATCCACAATGGATGCTCATGGAAGCAGTGGTCAAGATACCAAGCGACATATTGCATTGGGCTCAGCTGCTGCACAAGACCTCTGTAAAGCATTAAGGAGCCATGATGTCACTGGGAGGTCTAAGATGCACCTGACCCAAGCCATGCTCAATAAGGGGGGTACATGGGCAACTGGCAAGTTTACACTTTGAACCTATTTTCCAGGTTCCAACATTTAATCATGCTAACAGTGCATTGTTACAGGCAGTTAAAGGGCGTGCCACAGGCTGTCATTTCTAAAACCATTTTATTGAGAGTTAATACCGACATCCTATCATTCCATAATTTAATCACCTCAAGCTGTATTGTACAATTGCCACCACATTCAGTTTCAAGTCTTTTCCTTCTGAACCTCTTGACAGCATTCTTTAAACAGCCACCCCAGTACAGACTGTTCTAACATGCGGAAGCAAATGGTTATAGTGATACAAATGAATCAGCATAGCTTGGGGAAAACAGCCAGTTTCTACAAGGAGGACAGAAAATGAGACCCGGGACGCAACTGAGAATAAGTACTCTGAAATGATGGGCTAGTCATTGACAAAGGCGCAGAGTGCCGTCAAACAGACTGCCATTTGTTGACTGAGCTTCCACATCTGATAGGAACCACACCAGCCACACCTGGCTTCCAGCACATGGTTCATGCTTGGTGGTGGGAGGAAGGAATCTTCAAGCTTCATTCTGCACAAGAGGAAATAAAAGAGGAAAAATAAGTGATTAAGATCACATTCTGAGGGCGTGGCAGAACAGGGTTTTTCAATCTGGGTCTCCTGATTCTGTTTTGTATTTGCTGTTGCTTTACACAAATGTCCCTAAATTTAGTAGCTTAAAAATTATTTGCTACAAGTCTGTGGGTTGACAGGCCTCTCACCTGGGGGGTCTTTTTTGTTGGTCTCAGTAGCAGTTCCTCAGTGTAATCAGAGAGCAGAAGGGGCGGGGCCCCAAGATGACTCCACCTACCAGCTCATATACGGGAACGATGATGATGATGATGATGATGATGACGACGACGACAGGCCCAGTCAGTTCCATCTCACAGGGGCCCGATGGACAACACACCACCACGCTGCACCATCCTCTCCATTGCTGCAGCCGCTGGATCAGTCTATCTTGTTGAAGGTCATCCCCTTTTCCCTGCCCGGCTACTTTCCCCAGCCTTCTCCCGTGACCAGTCTCTCCTGACGCGTCCAACCTCCTGTCTTCTCCCTGCCTCCGAGGATCGTTCTGGTTCTACATTTGTGTTCAAACTATGAAAAGTTGGAGTACTCAACATATTTTTCCCATAAGAAAGAATGGAAAACCGATTCATTGGCCGAGGCCCCCGAATGTTACTTTTAAGTTCATGCTGGAGGCCTTTAGCCTTCTTGAGGCTCACTGTCTCAGCTAGCCTATCGTCCTCGAGTCGTTGCTGATTTATCCAATTTAACAGTGACTTTTCAGCCTCTTCAACGGTCTGGGTTGTTTCATGATTAACTATATTAGCTACTTTAATCACAACCCCCCTACCCCCCAAAAAAGCAAAACAAAAAACAAACAAACACATGTTGATAATGTTGACTTAGCCAGGCTGCATTCAAGCAAACAAGCGGCGACCTGATTCAGATTTCAATTTCCTTCCTTCTTTCATTCACTCACATGTAGAACCGTGGTTCAGTTTTCTTCTTAGCTGTACTGCTGGTTACCACGGACTTTGAAACCATGACTATGCTATTTTCTGTACATAGGTGCCAAAACACAGCGCAGGGACGAATGTTTTAATGCCCTAGCAAGCACTGGATGCTATCTGGGAGAGGATTTTCGGTTGACTATGGAGCAAAGTCATGAACACCAAGCAGACGTTCTCCAACCTTTCCAGTGATGCAAAGTGTGGAGTTGCTGGACAACCATGGTGGCTGTGCTATTTCAAAGATCAGATTTGTTTGCTCGTTTGGCAGTCCATGGTACTTTCAATATTCTTCCCCAGCCCCATCATTCAAAAGCGTCTTCTTTTTCAGTCTGCCTTACTCAATGTCCAACTTTGATATGCGTATGAGGTGACTGAAAACACTATTGATGGCTGGGCTTACCTGGGATACAAGTCACATTCGTGGCCTTCTTCCCATTACTTCACGCATGTGCCCTCACACATGAACAGGATTGGACATCCTGCCCTAAGGGAACAACAGAGGAAGGTGGCCTAACATGAAAGGTTTTGCAAAAGTCCACCTTGGTGGCAAACACCTGAACTGGTCAAGGAGCAATGGACTCGGTGAATGATCCAAGAAGGCGCAGGTGGTCTGTGAGGCCACATGATGCAGATGCAGTGGGGCCGGGATTGGGACGCCGGGTCGGGTTGTGGGCAAGAAAGACGACGTCAGAGGGGTTTGGGTAATGACCTGGGCCACATCCCATCTGTCTGTAAGCATTTTTATACTAGTTGAAGTGTACTTTTCTACAGTCATCTTCAGTACTTTTTAAAGGATTCAAATACTTGAGTCTATCCCAACTATGACTGCAGTTAATTTTTAGCCCAGTGAGTATGTATTGCCCCAATACACACAAATGTGTGTTATGCATATACATACTAGAACATACTAGTTGCCATGGCAACTGATAGCAACCACATTTCAGAATAAAATTTACTATGACCTTTTTAGATCACCAAGCCATTCTTCTGAAGTGCCTTGTCATATTTGAATACTTTGTTACCCAAGAACTCCTATGTGTGCATGAAGGTGTAAACACATGTATACGTAGATAGACGAATATATATTGAAGTCACTCCCCCTTACGCAAGGAACCCCGTTGGCACTGCCTGTTAGGTTTCTAACTGCAAGGTGGTTCACACTCAATAGTTGCTTGATTGGAATCAGATGAATCTGCTTGTTCCAGTTAATCAGTTTGGGAAAGCAGGGTCCCTGTGAGTCAGAATCAAGTTGATGACAATTGAGTTTTTTAAGATGACCCCTTCCTCTCTATATTAATGCTGGCCACGTCTGCATAAATTAATTCTATATTCCATTAATGGTTTGACAGTCTCTGCCCTGGTAGAGAAACATCTCCGGCAAGATTCAGGATCAAGTATAGGAGTAATGAAGTAAACCAAAGCCATTGCAGGAAGTTTCCTTTTTTTGTTTCATGAATATTTTCCATTACAGCTTGAGATTGTATATTTAATTTGGTACTTTTATTCTCTAAATGTTTAATTAACATACTGGATTACATAATAGAAACTCTGCAATTTCATTTTATTATTTTTTATAATCAGCAAATGTGTATTCAATTTCTATTTCTAGGACTATGAAGAGACTTAAGGCACAAGCTTAAGTCTTTAAGGAACTTTGTGTTGGCAGAACACATACAATACTAACATAAGAATTACCATTTAAGAAAGAAAAAGGCTTCCAACTTTAGTGATCAATATATATCCAAAGTTCTTACACAATTGTTATTATTATTAGTTTGGGATTTAATATATATATCTCATAAAATGTGAAATGGAGTACTAATTCAGACTTGTTATTATAAATTGATAAGCATAGTTTAACCACTGGTAAACAATATTGAGATATTAACATCACTCACCCATATTCTCAAATTTAATGGGTACTATATTGCTTTACAAAATACAATGTATTAAATTTATAATTGCTTATAGGTCAACTTTCATTTACCAGGAAACTTACTATTTAAGTATAACCAAATCTGAATTGTTAGCGCTAATATTAAATTTTGAAGCTAAAATGATTTCGAAATCGTGATTTGAGTTTCAAAGTCGCGCTCCTAAACGGCAAAGTCGCTCCACGCACACCTTGCTGTCCACGCGGACAAGCCCCACGCGGCTCCAAACAAGAGGCGGAAGGACTGCCACCCTCTAAAAACGAACCTGAAGAAACGTACAACTGTTTGAAAACTTTACGGCAATCACGACTTGCACTGCCGGCAAGGTCTGCGCGGGCGCGCGCACGCGGCCCCCGTTCCCGCGCACGGCGCACGCGGCGGGAGTCGGGGTGGGGCGCGCACCGCCCGGGGCCCGAGGAATTGAAGCGGGCTCGGCCACTGCGTCTACCCCGACTGTCGCATGCCAAGGGGAATCTCCTGCAGGAAGGTTCACTTCCTGTCATTTACATGATCAAAACATGAAAAATCGAGTGAACTTTCCCAAAAAGCGCCTTCGAAGTCGCTTCTGAGACCGGCCAGGCCGGCCGCTGCGCCGGAAAGGACGGCGGGGCGTCCCCGCCCTCGCGCCTGGGCGATACCATCTCGCCGGTCCCTCCCCCCTGGGGACTGGAGTGGTGCCGTCCTCGGCAGCTCATTGGCTGGCCGGGCGAGCGAAGGGCTGGGCTCCGGAACCTCCTTCCGCGCGCCACCTTGTCCCCGCCACACTGGGAGCCGGGCTCGGGACGGGCGCCATGGTGAGCGGTGGGTGCGGGTTACCGGGCAGGCGAGGGCCGGGGCCGGGGCCGGGGCCGGGGCCTACGTTCTGGCCCGGCCGTAAGCCTGCCCGGGCGCTGCTTTGGGAGCGGGGCCGGGCCACGGCAGGGCGGTGCTGACGGCCGCCGTGCTGGCTCCTGTTCCAGGTGCTGCTGCACGTGCTCTTCGAGCACGCGGTCGGCTACGCGCTGCTGGCGCTGAAGGAGGTGGAGGAGATCAGCCTGTTGCTGCCGCAAGTGAGTGGGATCGGCGAGGCCTCGGGGTCCCGGGGGCTGCGGCGCGGCCCGGCGGTCCCCAGCATGCACCGCGCGCCCACGTGGCCGGCTGAGCGGGGTGATCGGGCCTGGAAAGCCCTGGAGTAATAAGGGCCCTTATCTTGATTCAGGACTAGAACTGCTTTAGAAGCTTTTATGAAATTAAACTTGTCCCGTTTAAAGCAGAACTTTGAGAGGCGTACCCTAGTCACCAGCGCCCTAAAAATCCTTTTAGTTAGCTCTCCTAGGAGCTCTGCCGAACTTTTGGGTGGAGAGCGTGGGGAGGAAACGGCTGATCCTGTTTCTCCCCGTCTCAGGTGGAGGAGTGTGTGCTCAGTCTGGGCAAATTCCACAACATCGTTCGTCTAGTGGCCTTTTCTCCCTTTGCCTCGTCCCAAGTGGCCTTGGAAAATGCCAACGCAGTGTCTGAAGGTGAGTTGCACACCCTCCCCCGAGTTTAGACGGTTTGGGGGATCGTGTTATGTCCAGAATACAGCTGTTAGTCCCATTGTGGGACCCTAAGCCCACTGCCGTCGGGTTGAGGCTGACTCATGACTCAGGAGGACTGAGTAGAACTGCGCCGCCCGTAGCTTCTGAGAATGGTAACTCTTTACAGCAGTAGAAAGCCCTTTTCCCATGTCTGGCTGGAGTGATGAACAATTCTTAGGTGGGATTCCCTTCTTTAAGCTCCCATTTTTGTGAACAGGTTTCCTAAACCAAAGTGGTTTCCTGCAACATCATTCCTTTTACTGGGCAAGGTGGGGAAGGGCTTGAAATAAAAAACAAGCCATTGGTCCCAGGGGCCAAATGAGCTCTTTCCTTCTTTGGGAGCTTTAAGCAGCATCGGTTGTTATGCACTGGTTCGACTGGACCCTGGACCCTCTTCCTCCTGTTTGAGCCGGCTTTGCAGTGATGACCTGTATCTGTCAATCCCCTGAGTGCAGTCACTGATGTCTCTATGTCTCTGAGCAATGCCAGAGGGAAAGAGGATTCAGGCCTGCCTTGTTGAACCAGTGCTAAGAGTTAATTACCACCTTAAATAAGAGAGGATCCTGTCGATTCTTTCAACTTGCTAAAGTGGAGAACTGTTTCTTTGCCTGGAGGTGTTGTTCATGAGGATCTCCGCCTGCTTTTGGAGACACACTTGCCGTCCAAAAAGAAGAAAGTACTCTTGGGAGTTGGGGACCCCAAGATTGGTGCTGCCATACAGGAGGAGTTAGGGTACAGTTGCCAGACTGGAGGGGTGATAGCCGAGATCCTCCGAGGTGAGAGCATCCATAGGTACCATTCTCGACACCTTGGCCCTGGGGTGCTCTGGAAGCCCACTAGGGTGTTTAGGGTTCCTTTTGGGGCAGTCCTCCTTACCTGGCACCCCTGAGTGGGTGGGGGCTAGCCCAGGACCCTGCCATGCTCACAGTCCTGCCTTCCTCCAGGGATTCGCCTGCATTTCCATAACCTGGTGAAGGGCCTGACTGACCTGTCTGCTTCTAAAGCCCAACTGGGGCTGGGACACAGTTACTCCCGGGCCAAAGTGAAGTTTAACGTGAACCGAGTGGACAATATGATCATCCAGTCCATTAGCCTCCTGGACCAGCTGGATAAAGACATCAACACCTTCTCCATGCGTGTTAGGTAAAGTGCATGGGCAGCCCCAGAAAGTGCAACATCGATTGGGCTGAATTCTAATTTGGAGAGAGGGTGGGGGTGCGTGCATGCCTCCTTGTGCTTACCACAGGCTGTGCTCTTGCACTGACTGTATAGAAAAAGGAGGCAAAGTAAGTGCCCTGTATACACCTCAACCCAAGCCCTGTCTGTGCCTGGTTTGTATTGTGAATGGGGCCACATGGCATCGAGATAATGGATCTGACTGCTGTTTTCTTCAGGCAACTAGTGGTTGCGTGCCGGCTCATGGCGGTGGTCTCTGGGTTTTTTGCAGGGAGTGGTACGGCTATCACTTTCCGGAGCTCGTGAAGATTGTCAATGACAATGCCATGTACTGCCGCCTGGCCCAGTTCATTGGCAACCGCAAGGAGCTGAACGAGGAAAAGCTGGAGGAGCTGGAGGAGATGACGATGGATGGGGCCAAGGCCAAGGCTATCCTAGACGCCTCGCGGTCCTCCATGGGTCAGTGCAGGGCTGCTAGCCCAGGGGTGGGGTGGTTCTGAGTATGTCTGCATTCCCACTGAGTCTCTCTCTTGTAGGCATGGACATCTCTGCCATCGACTTGATAAACATTGAGAGCTTCTCCAGCCGAGTGGTGTCCCTGTCAGAATATCGCCAGAGCTTACACACTTACCTGCGCTCCAAGATGAGCCAAGTAGCCCCCAGCCTGTCCGCCTTAATTGGGGAAGCGGTAGGTCCTGGCGGGGCTAGGGGGGTGGGGTGTGTGTGTGTGTGTGTGTGTGTGTGTGTGTGACTGACTGCTTGCTGAGAGGTGAGCGTAGGCATTGTTAACGTCGTTGGGTGTGTGTGTGTGTGTGAGACTGCTTGCTGAGAGAAGGTGAGCGTAGACATTGTTAACGTCGTTGGGTGTGTGTGTGTGTGTGTGTGTGTGTGTGTGTGTGAGAGTGAGACTGCTTGCTGAGAGAAGGTGAGCATAGACATTGTTAACGTCGGTGCTCTCCCCAGGTAGGTGCTCGTCTCATTGCACATGCTGGCAGCCTCACCAACCTGGCCAAGTATCCAGCATCCACCGTGCAGATCCTTGGGGCTGAAAAGGCCCTGTTCAGGTACCAGCGAGGGCACCTGCCCACATTCAGGTGCCTTTACTTGTTGGGAATCACAGTGATGGCTGACCAGGGTCCCTGACCCATTCAGGCGTCTGCTATGGGAGTGATGGGCCAGCCCTGCTGTCTGAGTGGTTCCCAGGGCCCAGCAAACTTCCAGGTCAGCGGCATCAGATGCCTTTTATTCCCTCTACCCCCTCGAGGAGCTCTGGGTTGGCATGTGGGTGGGGTGGAGGCAATCCCAGCCGGAGTCTCACTCTGGAGACTTGGAAAACGAAGAGGTAAGGAGCTGCTTTGGAGTGGTTGAAATTCCTGATCTTAAAACTCTTGCTGAATATTCTCAGAGCCCTGAAGACCAGGGGAAACACCCCTAAATACGGACTCATTTTCCACTCCACCTTCATTGGCCGAGCAGCTGCCAAGAACAAAGGCCGCATCTCCCGATACCTGGCAAACAAATGCAGTATTGCCTCTCGGATCGATTGTTTCTCTGGTAGGAGTTGAGGGGAGGACTGGGGGTGGTTGTGGGGGGCATGGGCTACCTTGACAGTTTCCACGGTGATGGTACTATTTTTCGTCAACAGCAGTTCACCCAGTGAGTGTTGATAGTGTTGGGTCTGAGTGAAGCTGACAGGGTAGGAGGGACTGTCGGGGTAGATGGGTCATCCCTTCAGGAGCTGACAAGACTGTTACTCCTCCCCGCCACCACCACACACCCATCCAGAGGTGCCCACGAATGTATTTGGGGAAAAGCTTCGAGAGCAAGTCGAAGAGCGACTCTCCTTCTATGAGACTGGGGAGGCGCCTCGGAAGAATCTGGACGTGATGAGGGAGGCAGTGGTTCAGGTCAGTGTGGGCTGCCGGCCACGGGGAACCCTAGCGGACAGCTGGAGGTGATGAGCTACTATCAGCCTGACCTTGTGAAGTGGGGGCCAGAAACTGATTTAATGAGCCTGATCCAGTATACGGTGACTGGGAGCAGGGCTTGGAGGGGCGAAGGGCCTTGACCAATCTATCACTCCTGGGCCAGGCGGAGGCGGCCGCTGAGGAGATGACTAGGAAGCTGGAGAAGCGGGAGAAGAAACGCTTGAAAAAGGAAAAGAAGCGATTGGCTGCACTTGCGTCTCAGGAAAACAGCAGTGCTCCTGAGGAGTGTGAGGTCGCCGGGCAGGTTAGCACGGGGTCAACATCGGGAGTGGGGCCAGAAAGGTCTTCAATGTGTTGGGCGGGGGGCTGGCTGTTGTCGCCACCACTCATTCTATTCCCCCTCAGGAGACCAACGGGGAAAGGTCCAAAAAGAAGAAAAAGCAGAGGGCCCAGGAGGCTCCACAGGAAAATGGATTTGAAGACCCGGCTATCTCTGCTCTCCCCAAACCCAAGAAAAAGAGATCTAAGGAGGAGATGGTCAGCAGTGATCCAGAAGGGGTGCCTCCCCCCAAGAGGAAGAAACTGAAATCTCTCCCCAGAGAGGAACCTGCCTGTGATCTTCAAGAGGCAGCAAATGGCGGGAGCATCCCAAAGAAAAAGAAGAAGCTCCCCGCAAAGGGGGAGCCCGCCAGCAGTGGACCCGAGGAGGCAGCTGCTAGCAGCAAGAGCAACAGCACTAAGAAAAAGAAAAAAATTAAAAAACCAGCCCAGGAAGACTAGAGTGGACATTCCCCAACCCTCCCAATAAAGAAACAAGTTTACAATAGTTCGTCCATGTTTTATTTATTGTCTTACATGGGCAGGGCAGCAATGACGGCCTCAGTGAAGTCGTGGCAGGTGGCATAGCCACCCATGTCAGAGGTTCGGACCTGTGGGGAGAAGTGTCGTCATATCTCTCCCTGATAGACTCCCCGCCACCCCCCACCCCACTGTTCCCTAAAAAGCCAAGCCCAGGACAACCTAGGCTTTGCTCAGCTGTCTAGAGGTAGGGTTCTGGTCCAATGTACTGGAGGGATGTGTAGGTAGCTATGGTCCTTGTGAGGTTGGGAGGAATAAAGGACTAGCCCCCATAGGGGTGCAGGTGGTTGATGACGGACTTGATGAAGTCAGATGTGGTGCTGTAGCCGCCCATGTCCCGAGTCCGAACCTACAGTCGCCACCAGTGGTGTGGTGGGGAAGAAAAGAGAGCCCATGAAGGGGGTGGGTAGGGCAGTGTGATCAAGGAAACCTTGATCCCAAGGATCTGAGGGTGGCATGCCAGAAAGATGCTACAGGAATGTAAAGGTTTGTAAGCACAGCCAGTACAAGCCCGCTCCTGACATGGGGCCAGAGCCAAGTGCTGCTGGCCAGGCAGGCTGTGAGGATGGAAAGAGGCACACCAAAGGCAGGATGGAAGATGGGAGAGTAAATCAGGGACGACAAAGCTGCTTTGCAGAAAATGCAGAAAAAGACCAGATGAATGAATGGGGAAATAGCAAGAGAATGCGGATGAGGATGAACTCCCACATGTGGAGACAGGGAAGCCGGAGCCTCATCTTCCCATGCCCAGATGGGAAGCTGGCCTGCCTAACGCAGTGGACGAAGCAGGTGAGGGAATGGCAGACAGGAGCTGAAAAGGGTGGAACAATCCAGAAGATGAGACAGCCCGGAGAAGGGGGTCAGGGCAAGATCCGAGCGTGGAATGTTCTGGGGACCTGGAGGGAGAGGAGGTCTCAACTCAGGTTCCCCAGAGCCCAACCACCTTAACTCACCTTGCCAACTTTGATCACCTTCTTCACTGCATCCGAGATCATGGTGGCATGGTGTTCAAGGCTGGCAGCAGGAAAACGGTGCGGCTGAGACCCACCCCACCACGGGAGCAGCCCCACCCGACCCCTCCGCCTCCTCCCCCAAGCCAGCCTACTTGAGATGCCGAAGCATGTTGGAGGCGGAGAGCAGCATGGCCGTGGGGTTGGCTATGTTCCTGCCCACAGCCTGGGCAAACGGGTGCCTGGCGCCCTGTGGGACAAGGGGTGGGCCAGTCACTGAAGGAGAAGGCGTGGAGAAGCTGAGGTCAGGGAGCAGCCCTTAGGGGAGAGGCTGTGATCCGAAGGCCTGCAAGCCAGGGCCACCAAGAACAGATACTGTTGGGGGAAGGGCTATCAGGCCAGGGTGGTTCTGGGCGAGGAGATGGCATTGTGGGGTCAGAGGAGGACGGGCATGGAAAGAGCCGACCTTACTCACCGTCTCAAACACTGCGTACTCGGCACTGTAGCTCTCCCCGGGAACCACACCAGCTCCACCAACCAGGCCAGCAGCCAGATTGTCAATGATGTTCCCATACAGATTGGGCATCACAAGGACATCAAACTGGTAAGGATTCTGCACCAGCTGGAGATTAAGATGGCGTGTGGGAGTGGGGACCAAAAGGACTGCCAACCCCTTGCCATCAAATTGATCCCAACTCATAGTAACTCAATAGGACAGAGGACCGCCCTAAAGGGCTTACACGGCTGTGAAAATCAAAAATTGGGAAGCAACCTTGCTCCTAGGGAGTGCTGTGGCTTTGAGTTGCTGACTTTTGGTTAGCAGTCAAGTTCTCCACCACTGGGTCCCTCATGGACAGGAAGAAGGGAAGTCAATTCAATTCATTCTAGACCCGCCCTGAGCACCAAGACTCACCTGCATGCAACAGTTGTCTATGATCATCGTCTCAAACTTGATCTTGGGGTACAGTTCAGCAACTTCCCTGCAGCACTGCAGGAACAGTCCGTCCCCAAGTTTCCTGTCCGTGGAGCAGAGGGAACACATTTAGTCTGACGTGGAGGGGACACAGGGAACTACTTTCCCTGGACCCCACCCCCACACAAAGCCTCATCCCTCACATGATGTTGGCCTTGTGCACGGCTGTGACCTTGGCCCGACCCTTCTTGGTGGCATAGTCAAAGGCGAACTTGGCAATCCGCTGAGACTTGGTTCGGGTGACAATCTTCAGGCACTCAATCACCCCCCTGGCACTCTGGGTGAAAGGAGCAACAGCTGAGTGGCTGGCCCTGACCGGCGGGGGTGGGGTGGGTGTTGTTTTCTAGGCTTCTCGCCAATCTCCAACCCTAGGCTCCTGATTTCTGGGGCTTCACCTCGTGTTCGAGAGAGCTGTATTCCCCTTCCGTCTGCTCTCGGATGATGACCAGGTCTAGATTGTTGTGCCGGGTCTTGTAGCCAGGAAGTGACTTCACATGGACCACGTTTGCAAACAGATCCAACTTTCGCCTGAGGGGGGACACAGAGCACCACCACTGCACCCAGTGCCCCGGCAGCATGCCTTGGACCCACTGCCCCCACCCTGCCCTGCCTACCTCAGCCTCATGTCATAGGAGGCCAGTTCCCCCTTATATTCCATCGGGGTATGGATCTTTCCTGCGGAAAAAGTCAGGAGTGGGGTCTCAGGCAACCAAAGTCAACCCCGTCAGGTTGCAGCCTAGACCACCACCCCCATCCCCATCTTCCACCTCCAAATCTGGGCTCTGTCATTGCCCCTGGGGGCCGGGGGCAAAGGCAGAGAGTGTGTCCACTGTTGTTTTTGTTTGTTTCGGCTGAAACCCGAGCTTTGAGGTGGTTCAGTTATGGCTGATGAAGCAAAACTGTAGTAGACCCAAATGCTTCAAAATGCAGGTGAGCCTGGCATGGGGATGAAAGCAGGGAACACGAGGGGGTTGGGCGCCCTGGAGTCAGGGAGACCAGACTGCTGGCAGGGCCATGGAGCACCCCCACATTCGAGGTAGCCGTGGCAAGCGGCCAGCCGTGAGCAGGGACTCCGCCTGCTCCAAGTTGGCTGCCGTGCAAGGAGGATCCGATCTGCCCTTATTTCCAACGAAGGGGACTGAGGTCCTGCAGTGCTTCCACCTGTAATTGTTTCCACTTTGCCGAAACTTTGAAATGTCCAGTTTTGCTTCCTTCGCCATGACTGAACTAGGAAGAATTGGTTCAAAGCCCTGGTTGAATCGTCAAAATGGTGGTGGACGTGACATTTTTTCCTTATTTATCAAGCACCGCCTGGGTTAACAGGCTGACAACACTAGGGGAATCTATGGCCGTCCTTGATGTTTGCCTGTTTGATATATTTTTTTCTACCTATTATTTCCTAAATCACCAACCAGATGCCAGGCAGCAGGGACATCAACAAAACAAAACAAACCTACAATCCACCCTCAGGGGCAAACACTGCCCTAGGGAAGACAGCAAGAATGACATGTTTATACCATGGGAGGTTGCTTCTCTCCCAGAAGCACCAGAGGTAGATGCCTTTAACAAACAGGAATTATGTTCTCACAGGTCAGGAAGTCAGAATTCAGAGTGAAAGGCCTAGGGTAAGGTCTCTCCATGGGCTCTAGGGAAATCTGGCTCTCCAGCTGGTTTCCTGGCTCCCTGGAAGATCTCCATGTGGCTTGCCATCAATCTTCCTCCATCTCTGCTTGCTCCATCTTTACATGTCTAATGAAAACGACTCAAATCGCTACCTATGATAATCCTCCATCATGACCTTAACAGAGAGAGTCCATTTCTGAATGGGATCAAAACTACAGGCAGACAGGTTAGGATTTCTAACCTATTTTTGAGGGACATCGTTAAATCCCTGACAGAGAAGTAATAAGCAATACACAGAAACACAGAGAAGAAATTCCCTCTGGTAAGACAGATGTCATACAAGAGCTGGGATTGTACTGAGGCAGCACAGTGACCCCCCCCCCACCCCATTATATGCGATGCATGAACCTTTATTTAATAAACCCTTAACTTTATTTAGGAAGACAGTCTTTGCAGATCTACATTTTGGGTTTCAAGAAAGCATCAGTTTGTAGCAGCTAGAGAAACAATGAACAAGACTTGATTAAGGGCTCCGACCCTCAGAACCTTCCTACACTCATGACCTCTCAAGTCCTGGGCTACCAAGGGAAGGACTATATTAGT